GAGAGGCAGGGCCGGGCCAAAGCTTCGGAAGCGCCGCTAAGGCCTGTGGGACCCGGCTCTGCATCGAGGAGGCACCCGCCTGCCCGGGAAAACGGCACAAACCCGCCGCAGCCCCTCCAAGCTGGGCTCCCTCCTCCGCCAGCCTGCCGCTGGGACAGGCACCGAGGGCGAGAAGCCCCTGGCACTGCTGCAGTGTGGACTTACCTGCGTCCCGCCATCGTCTGGCCACGCTCCGGGCTGGACCAGAGAGGATGTCAGCAGCAAAGGGGCATGTCCTGGACACTGGGACGGGGGGCACAAACCCGCCGCAGCCCCTCCAAGCTGGGCTCCCTCCTCCGCCAGCCTGCCGCTGGGACAGGCACCGAGGGCGAGAAGCCCCTGGCACTGCTGCAGTGTGGACTTACCTGCGTCCCGCCATCGTCTGGCCACGCTCCGGGCTGGACCAGAGAGGATGTCAGCAGCAAAGGGGCATGTCCTGGACACTGGGACGGGGGCAGCATGGGCTAATGGTTAGAGCCACAGGGAATCAAATCTGTTCTGGGCTGCGCCACTGATCAAGGGCAAGTCACGCCAGCGCCTTTGCCCCTTCCGTCCAGTTTAGACATCCGGGCGGAGGCCTCTGTGTCATGCAGGGGCTAACCAGGCTGCAGCCCGTGTCCTGGTCCTACAAGTTCAGGGGTGTGTGGCATTGGGTTCTGACCCTGTCATCTACGGGGCTGCGTGCGGGATCAGAAGCTGAGATGGTGCATGGACCCAGCGGCTCGCTGGGGCTATTTAATTTTTTTTCCCTGCAGTTCCATAAATAAACACATCTTGACCTCCAAAACATTTTGTTCTATTTCTCGCCGCAAACATTCTTCCCGTCCGGCCCTGCCGCCCGCTTCCCATGTCGGGCTGCGGAGCCATTTATCAAGCAGCTCAAATGTGTTGGCGGAGCTTTCAATAAATAAACCAGCCCCGGGAAAAGGCTGGGGGGGGCCGGTGCCCTGGAATTATTTACGGTGGGAACGCGGGAGCATCGCTCGACGCTACGTACAGGGGCTGGGTGGGCGGCACCGAGCGGAACTGAGCCACCGGAGATCTAGTTGGGAGTCCAAATGCGACTCACTGTCTTAGAAGAAGAAATCGAGGCCCCTGGAGACCCCCTGTGGGAACCGGCCTACGGAAGAGAGGCCGTGGCTGCAGGATCGCGTCTGAGCTCACTGCGCCCATTTTACACCCTGGCTCCTCTGCCGAGCGCTTTGGATTTGCTAGGGGAGAGTCGGGGGTCACTCGTAGGAGCACAGCCGGGCAGGGCCCTCAGAGGGGACCCCCCAAGATTGCTCCAAGCCCAGCCGTGGCCACGGGGTTCACTCAGGTTCCTGCCCCGGCCCCAAGGGGAGGATTAGCTGGAGAATCGGTTTCTCCCCAGCTCTAGCTGCGGGAGCAGAGGGGGAGTCATCGGCTCTGGCCAGAGGCCCCAGAACGCACTGTGCCCGCCCTGGAGGTTAGCCCGGGCTCAGCACACAGGACCACAAAGCCCCTCTCCTCTCTGGGGTCCAGCCTGATCCCCCCTCCCGAGCCAGGGGCAAAGCGTGCCCACTGCTCCGTGCTGGCAAGGGGGACGCCAGGGCTGCCCCACTACAGTGCCCCCAAAGGGCACAGTCTTGGCAGCCCAGAAGCCCCTGCCCATCCCTCAAGCTGACCTAGGCTTCGCTGCCCCAGCCAGGCGGGCCCCGTGCCAGTGACGTCAATGGCAAAAATAGGCTGGGGATTGCATCGCCTCAATCGTGCCTTGTTGAAGGGACCTGTCCTAGCCTCCCCCTGAGACTGCGGAGCAGCATGGGCGGGTGCCCAGGGCCGGGTTCTGCTCCCACTCGATCACAAGTCACGTGGCTGGGTCAGGGCCTTGGGCCAGGGCTACGCAGGGATCACACTGGCTGATCCTAATCAGCCCCCTTTTTGGCCTTAGCAGCCACGAATCTGTCCCCAGCTCTGCCGCGGACTCACCGGGGGAAGCTTGGACACGACACTTGGTGTATTTGTGCCTCAGTTTCCCCAGCTGCAGCATGTCCCCTTTCGAGACTGATGCCTGTAGAGCGCTAGGCGCCACGGGGGCTCTCAGACACGGCACACACTCGCTTATTACAAAATATCTTTTATTGGTAAAATATCTCCCACTTTTCATCGACATCATCCCGCACAGCCTTGCACTCACAACGCCGGCAGCCCAAGAGGCATGTGGCAAGCTCTCACTGCAGGCGACAGGCTTGGGACCAGCAAACAGCCCCTCAATCCCCGGGGCTGTTGGCGGTTCTCCTCCCCTCTACCGGCTCAGGGGTGAAACGCCAAGCCCCACTATTCTGCAGGCCTCTCCAGTCAGCGTGGAAAGAGCAGGACGCTGAATTTCAATAGGTGATAACAAGCTATTTTAACCTCAGCACCGGCTACTCGTAACGTCGATAACCACCCGGAGCCAGAAGGGACCGCGCGGACAGAGCACAGGACCAGCTGTCAGGACGCCTGGCTACTTGGCTCACCTCTGACACCCGCCTGATGTCGGCACCGTGGGCGAGTGACTTCCTCCCCTGGGCACCAGTGTTGCACCCTAGCCAGCGAAGATCAGCGTTACGCACTCAGGCTTGGAAAGTGCTTGGAGTTTTCGGGGTTTAAAAGCTCTGTGTGAGTGCTGCTTCTGGATCCCGTTTCCGCAGCTCACGTGCCCAGCCCTCGCGTGGACGACAGAGACCCGGGACAGGAGATCCCATCCACACAGGGAGGACGGGACGGTACAACCGTACTAAACACAGGTCGAAGGGGGAAATGACACAAGAGCCAAGCAGCATGAGCCAGAAGGAACTGGCTCCGGCTCACCGCGCCGGGTCCGACATGCAAAACCAGGCTGTTGTGTCGTTTTTGAAAGAAAGACTCAATCTTAGAAACAAAGCGACTAGCACACCCTGGATAAGCACCTTCTTCCCCCTGCATTCAGCCCGCCGTGTGGAGTGCATGCTTTTGTTCCTCGCAACAAATACGCTCTTTGTTTCGGAGAGATCAGTGTGCTTTGGGGGGGGAGCAAACATCAGAGAGACAAACCATGAAAGGGGTTTGCAGAAGTTATGAAGCAAAATGACAAGAGACGACGGAGCGGGGACATGCTAGCGGCTTTCAACTACCTCAAAGGGTGTCACAAGGAGGAGGGAGACAAATTGTTCTCCTCGGCCTCTAAGGACAGGACAAGAAGCAATGGGCTTAAACTGCAGCAAGGGAGGTTTAGGTTGGACATTAGGAAAAACTTCCTGCCTGTCCGGGTGGTTAAACACTGGGATAAGTTGCCCAGGGAGGCTGTGAAGTCTCCATCACTGGAGATATTTCAGAGCAGGTTAGATAAACACCTGTTAGCGATGGTCGGACGGTGCTTGATCCTGCCAGGCAGGCAGAGGGCTGGACTTAATGACCCCTCGAGGGCCCTTCCAGTTCTAGGACTCGATGGTTCTATACTAAGAGTCTAGGAGACTCGGGCTCCTGGAGAATGGGGCCGATTTTGGGTCCAGGGGCCCTGGGAGATTCTGACCACCCAGTAGCAAGGTGGCCAGGGGTAGGACAGACAGAAGGGGATCGACACTGTTTGGGGGGAGCAAAAGGAAAGGAGGAAAAGGGGGGGGGATCCTTTTCATATGAAAACAAGGAACCAAGGGAGGGAAAATCCTCACACTGAAAACTCTCCTCTTGGCCCCACCTGTGCCCATCCTAACCCCCCCCTTGAGTCCGTCCCCACGTTTCCCCCACTTGGGACTGGTCCACTGGTTCAAGCCTTGGTGTAGACCCTGCTCCTGCAGCCACTGGCCTTTTACCCCACCCCCCACCGTCTAGCCCCACTCTGGGGAGGTCCTGCTGGCGGGGGGTTAAAAGCGCAGGCTGTGGTGAGAGCTGTGTCCGCACTAGGACCCACACAGGAGGGACTGTGGCCTGGGAAGCCTCGGGCTGGGGTCCTCTGGGGCTCACAACCGCCCCCCAACTTCCTGCTGCTAAATGGGAGCAACGTGTCTGAGCTGAATTCCAGCTCCGTCCTGGAAGGGACCCACGATGGGGGGTGAAGGAGACGGTGGCCCCTGGAATTACCCCGTGGAGCTGAGCACAGTACCTGGCCCAGGCAGACTGACCTCTTCCCGGCACGGACCCTCCCCCAGCCCTGTCCCCACCCCAAGGGACACAATGCAGCGGGGACCCACAGCCAAGAAGGCCCCGGCCTCAGCACAGGACCGCG